CTGTATCACTACCGGAACAGTTTGCACGAGCGCCTCAATGGGCCAACACCCTCAGTGGCCTCCGTTGCCCAACGCCAAATCAAAGCCAAGTTGCAATTGCTGAGCGACTTGGCGCTTTTGGTCTTCCAACTCACGACAATGGTCCGATGGGGATTTTGACAGTTGCAGAGTTTTCATTAGTTATATCGAATATAGTAAAGTATAGAGTAGAATTGAAGTTCACCTGTTCTGTTACACACGGTTGGTTGTTTGATTCGATGCTATTTGTATAGGATTTCAGTCCGACAACCCTTCTCAGTGGTTTAGTTTGCAATCTTGAGGTGATCAAGCATCCGAGCACCAGGAGATTGCAAAGGTTGTAAAATCCTTGCGCATGCAGCCCTTGACCTTCGAGTTGAGCGACGAGGTTGTATGGACTTCTATTCTGGAATCCTTCCTCCACACTCATGAGAAGCACGACACTTTTACGATGCTCCACTTAAAGGCTCGCGGCTTAGTGCAACCCACGCCACCCGCCCATGGGCCACCCACAGTGCGTGGCCCTTTCCACCAGGCTTTGGATCAGATGAACTATGCAGTTCACTTGGCTCACAACTTCTCTCAGTGCGCAGGACGGCTGTCGGTCTGTGGCTGTCGGTCGGTTGGGTGCGCTGTGAGGAACTCTCGGGCCAAGCGTGTAACAGTGTTGAGGATCTGGGAGGGTGCCACCTGCCAGGCCATCCAGCACGTTTTTTTGTGGAATTGGTCCTTTCTAGGACGATTGGTTGATCGCCATCACTTCCGGTTCCGGGTTCCCAGTTCGCATGACAGCAACACACCGGGTACGGGACATGGGGAAAAATACGGGTTCGTGGTGATGGCGGGACATCGGGCAACAATGCCATCGTTATTCTTCAAACCTTTGTCATCAGGGCTGCGCAAGACCTGGCCTCCACGACACCTCCATCATGTTTGTCGCTTCCGCACGTAAGGTTGGCGAGGCTAGGGTTCAAAACAATGCAGCTTTTTGGAGCTAGAGGAGGCTCTCCTCATTTGGCAGAAATGAACTCTTTTGAGGTCATTGCTCACCGAAGGAATGCACATCATGTTCATGACTTGCCCTTCCCACAAGGCTTAAGCCTAACATTCTGCTTGCTTGCCAGGCCTGCCACCTCCAGCCTCACATCGGATAGGACTTAAATCGCTCATCTCAAGATGACCTCCACGTGTCATCATCAACAGTGGCTGGATGAACCAACGCCATCCATCATCATTCATTCAAACGTCACCCATTGGCCAATTGGTAACTGCATGAACCATGCAATTTGAGGCCGGCCTCAAGATTGGACGTTTTATGTAATTAGGACATGAACTCATGAGAACGGGTGGAGAGTTACGAATCCTTTTCTCGTTCATTTCGTCGCTTCTGGCAGGTGCAGACACCGCATTGCTGCGGGAGGCGTGGCAACGGGCGATGCGCGCCGAGGAGCGAAGCAACGAGGCGCTCTTGGAAGCTTGGTTTGCTACGGTGACCTCCTCGGAACGCTTGGAGGTGGCGACCAAGGAGTCCGGTTGGCAGAGGGGGCGTGTTGGCCAGGTTGGTGAAATACCAACTGCAAAGCTATTTGTGTGTACAAATCATGCTAAAATTGGGCTTGAGCACGGGCTCCATAGAGCAAGAACGGTGTGAGGCTGAAGTAATACACCATGCCTAGGCGTGACCAGTGGCATGACGGATCGGTGTGGGATGAATTGGTTCCTCCAACACGCGGGTGATTTGCAACTGCTACTTGATTTGAGCGTGAAGGTTGTGAGGTGGTGACACGCTTGAAGTCTTCTGACAAAAAGGGAGGGAACATGGCAAGCTGTCCTTCCTTTTTGTCTCTTCTCACCTTCAACCCCGACCTGTTTGTCATTACAGCAACTGGTAGTGGTGTAGCAGTTGTAGCAGTCGTAGCAGCAGTAGCAGTTGTAACAGCAGTAGTAAAGTAGTAGCAGCAGCAGCAGCAGCAGTAGTAGGAATAGTTTGCGGTTTTGAGCTTGCGCGTTTGCTGCCAAGCCGACAGCCAGCTGCCACTCCAGCAGCATCCAGCAGGTAGGCCACGACAGAGCAAGCTGCACTTAGACTTGACCTAGGCGCTCGGCACTCGAGCACCTCAGGTTGTAGGAACAGCGGAGAGGGGGTGGCACTGGCATCTTGCCAAGCGATCCCAGGATCGAAACGAGGCACACGTTCAGCTCACGAATCTTTTGATCCATCCCGGAGGTAGTCCGGTCGCACGAACCAAAACAGACCTGGCCTTTGCATGGTTGTGAATGACGCCCCTGAGCTTGCTCCACAGTCCAGCAAGCAAGTCTAAAATTTGCGTGCGCTGCGCATGGAGGACCTTGTGACCAGTTGTACCACAGCCACCTGTCTCATCCTGTCTCACAGGCGGTGGCAACTTCGACTTGAAACTGACTGAGAAGAAACTTCGATGCTCAAAGATGGATCCTCATGCGTCAGAGAGTGAGAGAGAGAGAGAGACGCGCACACACACACAGAGGCACAAACACAAGGCAGACCAGCAGCTTCCAGGAATTGTTCGTTTGGGGGGGG